CACCTGCCTGCTCCATGTACCTCCATGCAGGTCCATGTACAGGCTGGAGGCTTCCAGCCTTTGTCCCCTATTACCTATTAATAGTCCATAGGGATTCCTTTCCCTCAGGAAGGGATCTCTTCTTCATACATAGCAATACATGGTATCACATCCGATCCCTTCCTTCCTTCAAGTGGTTATGAGCCCAGCACTCAATCTCTGAGATACTAGATTTTTTTTAACTGGAAGGGACTACTTCTACATAGAAAACCGATACGACCATTCCTCTATTTTAAGCAGACTAAACCACGTAGTAAGGTATCACAAACGGCACCAACATAGGCCAACCAGACGGCAACGATGACCCCCCGTCATCTAAACAACTCCAAGGAAAGTCTAACTTCTTCGAATGGCACCGAGACTTCCGCAGAGCCGCACGGGCAAAGGATGTGTGGAACCTATTGACAAAGAAGGATACCATGATCAAGGAACCCCTAGAAGAAGATTATATTATCTATACCACTCTTATCGAAACCTACTCAGGTCCAATAACTAGGTCCCAAACGGATAAGAAGGGCAAGGAGAAGATCGAGACGGAATCGGCAGGAGAAGGATCTTCACAATCACGCGTCGAGACCATTGACCCTGCTAGGACTCTTATCAAATGGCAGTCACAATACAGAAAGTGGGAGAAGCAACAAGAGAAATCCCGGACGGCGTTCGATCTCCTTCTCAAATAGGTTGGTCCGGGTATTACTACCGAAATCGAAGACCTCGACGACGCAATCCTAGCATACCAAGCAATCCAAGCACGCTATTCTATCTCTAACGACTTGGCAAGAGAACAAATCCTAGATAAAATCGGCAAACTACGTCTCAACAACTGCAACGACATAACCGACTTCCTCAACAAACACCGCCAATATAAAGCGGACCTACAAACAGCGAAGCACACGTACACGGATACCCAACTAGTCACGAATATCCTCATCGGCCTACCAAGAGCCTATAAAGATTTCAAATCACAGTACGAATAGGTACGCGCTACCCAGGGTGAGGCCAAACCGGACCTAGACCTGCTGTTTAATCGTCTCTATGTCGAAGAAAGCAAGCCCAAGACACGCCGGAACTTCACTACTAGCAACAACGGCAACGATAGCCACAACAATCAAAACAGCGGAAACGGCAACAGGCAGCGAAAACACTCCATCGACAAGGGCAAGCTGCAGTATGCCGGCTGCGGTAAACCAGGGCACGAAAAACCTAACTATTAGCACGAGCACCCAGAGAAGGCACCCAAGGCGTTGCGAGAAAAGCTTCTCAAGACCAAGGAGGAAAAATCCAAATCCTCCCCTTTCTCAAATAACAACAGTCAATCAAGCACTGGCAGTAAACCAAAGGAACTCATTGCAATGGCCGACGGAACTGCATTCCGCACTGCTATAGCACAGCCTAACTACGACGACAGAATCGCCATTATCGACACGGCTCGTATAGACGTCGGACACTACTTTCCCTTTGCGTCTACTAAGGAGAGGGAATATACCGCTCTCTTCCGCTGTCTTACCGACCATATAGCTAGAGGAGATGGTATATCTCGCACCTATATTCTCACTACGCGCCCTGATCCCTCTACTTGGGAGCAGTCAAACAACCGCGAAATCCGAATTGCCCAAGAGATGGTTAGAGAGGCTGTCAACCGAGGCAGCATCATCCTCAAGGACCGAGAAGGTCATACTCTCCGCGATGATCCCGAGCCCTGGGGAGAGAAGCCAGAGAACCACATAGAACTCTATCATCTAGTCAAGGACATGTACGGAGTCCACAATGCCCCTACGGCGTTCCTTCGACGTGTCATCGAGATCGGCCAGGCTCTCGACAACGAAACCCAAGCCGCTACCGATACCAACAACCAGTCGGCCAACACCAACAACGATCAAGGACACATCGAGAAGGGACCGACTAACGACGACTCCGCCAACAACTACTCCACTGGTGAGAATCCTATCTCCAACCTCTCTAATCGAAACTCCATTACTAATGCCCCGCCACAAATTAACTCTAAAGGTGGACAGGCACGCTATAGAGGACTAGGTCAGAGGGTATGTGAAGGAGAGGATCACTATGGACAGGAAGCAGTATTGTTAGACCAAAAAATGATGACTTGTTACATCGGCTCTACGAAAGAAATCACTGGTAAAGACACTGTACTCCTTGATTCCGGAGCAGACATCTGTCTCTTCAAAGACAAGAAGTGGTTTAATACCCTTCGCCCTCTCGACGTCAACATCGGCTCCATCAATAGATCAGCCTCGCTCAAAATCAAGGGGGGAGGAAACGTGCGATTGATTTTGCTCGCAGCAGATGGAACCGAGACCCCGATTACCCTTACAGATGTAGCATATTCACCAGGCGCACGTTCTAACATTGTCTCCCTCTCCCAACTTGCTACGAAGGGCAACTTACAAGGGTCATGGGACAAGAACCAGATCACAATCCTGGCAGAAGGTCGCAACGTGGGACAGGCTATACGGGTAAACGGGCTCTACCTTCTTCAACTCCAAAAGAAGACGAACATCGTAGCAATGGCCGACGCCTTTGCTAGTCTTGTTACGTACGATGATGATATCTGGACATAGCACCGACGACTGGGCCACCTGAGCCTTCATAACATAATCATCCTTCTAAATATCAGCACTAGTATCACTGTGACGAAAGCCGCTATATTAAAGAAGATCAAAAGCGGGGAAGTCTGTCCCGTTTGCGCAGTCACAAGAGCTACCGTCAAGATTCCTAGAGACCCAGCAACTCGAAGAGAAGAGGAATTTGGATTCCTCTTCCACGCCGACACATGGGGACCATACCCTATTGAGGGTTTCGATAGTACAAGATACTTCCTATTCGTTACAGACGACGCGAAAAGGTTCACCTTTGCAGCCCCAATCTCCGTTAAGGCCAACCTTCCCAAGATCTTCAAGAGACTTCATAAGACTATCGAGAAGACATACAACATCAAGATTCGGGGCTACCGCTTCGATAATGAATTCTGGAAGGGCCCTATTAGAAGATGGCTAGTTAAACAAAATTGCAGAGTTGAACCGACAGTCGCTTAGCAACACTACATAGGCGGCACCCACGAACGCGTAAATCGAGTAATAAGAGAAAAAACAGCGCCAATGATCCAGGAACTGACGATAACTAGACAGCTCTCAAGGATTATCACTAAGAAGGCACTCGAATACATTAGACAATCATCACTCCCGGCTAACCTATGGCCAGAAGCTATCAAGTATGCCATCTGGCACAAGAACAGAGCCCCCTCACGAGCGCTCCGGCGCAGCTACCAGAACCGAACCGGGGGAGTAGATAACTCTAGCAGCGACGATCAGGCACCCAAGACCAAGAAGGGACCAATTACACCATGGGAGGCCCTTAATCGACACAAGCCCGACCTCTCAAAGGACTCTATCTGGGGGAGCCGCGTCTACGTTACTATTCCACCCGAGACTCGCGACCGTAGAAAACTACACCAGCCCCGTGGCTGGGTTAGATACTTTGTAGGATTGGAATCAGAGTCTGTCTTTAGAATCTTCTCACCAGATAAGCACGAAGTTTTCCGTGTCGCAGGAGCCAGAGTTCAGCAGGGACAAGGACTTGACGATCCGCACGAAGGACAAGAACCTATACGCCAAGACACACCACAAGAACTTACCAGAGACGAACAAACGGAAAACCAACAAACAGGAAACGAACAAGCAGAATATAACACAAACTTCTAGCAAGAAGATGTATCAGAAGAGGGGGAGCAACCTCAAGAAGAAGACAATCTTGAGCTATATCAGCAGGATGATGTTAAACTATACGACGACTTTCCCGACGACTCTCCTTTTATCGAACCAGAGAATCCCTTTCCGAACCCTCTTCCCTCGAATTCTCCAACCTCGAGCGATCCTATGAACAACGAAAACGACGAAAACACACCGCCACAGAGAGTTACATCGAGATTCTTTGGCAGCACCGTGATACTAGCCAAGAGGCAACGGACACCAAGCGAAAGCGAGGCAAGTTCAGAGATAAGCAAGACATCATCCACCGACGAGGACGAACCGAATAAGAAAAGGAAGAAAAAGAAGAGGTCCGACCACGACAACAGAACAAAGTGGAAGAAGCGAATGAGATTCTCTAAGGACAAGGTCTGTGGGAAATGCTTAGAAGATGGAGGACACTACTTCTTCGACGAAGATACCGACCCAGAATGGCCGGAGGTTCGACCAGCCTGCGTCCGATGCAAGAAATTGCCGGGAGCCCCAGGTAATAAATGCCGAGTTATCACGGATCCGGAGGAAATCAAGGCCTGCAAGGCCATCAACGCACAACGCAATAAGAGGGGTATTTCCCTTAGAAGCGCCGGAAAAAGACCAAAGCGTATAGGCGTCAAGAAGGAATTCAAGTGCTCCCGCTGTGCCAAGAGACGACTGGCGTGTGATGGGAAAATCCCCTGCGAAACCTGCACAACGAAGGGCATCCCATGCCGCAAACAAGATACTGAGAAGGACGAGAAGTGTACCCGCTGCGAAGGAAGACACAGGCGCTGTGATAAGGAGACACCATGTAGCGACTGCGTCAAAGAGGGAACAGACTGCATACGGCATGCTCAACAAGGATTACTTACCAGAGTCTGGCCCATTGGGAAAAGGTCAACCACTCTCTAGATCAAGATGAAGGACAATGCCAAGTGCAGACCGTGTTGGGAGTTTAATAGCATATGCGACGGACTTCAACCCTGCGGTTCGTGTATCAAGAGAAGGATAAGATCAGAGCAAATCTCAGCACAGAAGAAGGGGAAGAAGTTGAATAACCTTAGACTCTGTATCTATAAGAACGAGGAGGACGGCTGCTTTGAGAAATGGAACGTCTCGGCATTTACCCTTGATGAAAACGATCGCCCTCAACTGAAAGACGATTGGGAAGAACACAGCAACCGAGAAGCACGAAAGAGGGTACTTAAGGCGAATGAGACCTCCTTTAGAAGCAAGACCTTGTCGATGTCGAAAGAAGTAAACGAAGAGTCAAGCCAATTACACGAGACCACCCCAATCACCGAAGCAAGACGTCAGCTGGCTACGACATTCCCAGACGGATGGGTAACTATCCCGACGGAAGCAAACGAACTTATGTGTGGCCTATACGCGATCCGGCATAGCCTTCAACACCAACTTCCGCATCTTGACGTACCGACTATTCAGGATCTCCTAGATATCTACAGAGAACTAGCAACACAAAACCTTGCTTTCGAAATGGACAACGAGAACATGTTCCGAGCAGACCAGCTTGCTGCTATTCTTCGAGAGTTCGGAAGAAGACAACAACAATCGATTGACCTTCAACTAGGATATGTCCTAGCAAATGGACTAGTAGCGCTTGTCTTTCCAGAGGAAACCGATAGTACGACCTTATGGATCCATAACACTAATGACCAGGCCGACTCCTGGCGGAACGCACACTGGGAAGGTATGGCTACTAAGAACCATCAACATAACTCGAACGAACAAAGTGAGGAGGATAATAGAGACGACAAAGACGCGGACGATTCCATTTCCTCAATGTCAGAAGAAGAAAAGAAGGAAAATGATAACATTGCCGCTTTCAGTAATCCGACAGTTATGTCAGCAAATCTCGAATCGATGTTCCTTGAGATGGGATTAAGCGATTGTGACGACGACGATAACTCTACGGATTACTCAGAAGGGATAGCCACTGAGAAGCCAATAGATGCTAACATCGAAACCTACGCCCCACAACACCAGATATCTACCGCCAGAAGAGATACTAGGAAGATGCCGGACCCCGAGTCATATGCCGAAGCAATAAGAGCACCGGATGCTGCGAAGTTCAACCAAGCTATGGATGCTAAGAAAGCTGCCCATGCGAAGAATGGTACTATGGTAGAAGTCGACGAAGACGAAGTTCCTAAAGGGCAGAAACCACTTACAGCACGATGGGTCTATACACGGAAGCTTAGAGAAGACGGGGAGATCTCAAAGCACAAGGCGAGAATAGTTGCAAGAGGTTTTCTCCAGAGGGAAGGCCTAGACTATGATAAGACCTACGCCGCAGTCATAAAAGCCGCAACATACCGAATTCTTCTAGCAATAGCAGCAATGATGGGATGGGTTGCTCACTCGATGGACGTCGTTACGGCATTCCTGAATGGTACACTCGAGGAAACCGTATACCTCCGCAGCCCCCCAGGATGGCCTCTCCCTGAGGGAAGGATATGGAGGCTCGAGAAGGCGCTCTACGGTCTTAAGCAAGCACCTAGGGCATGGTATGCAAAGTTCACATCAACCATGCTCAAATGGGGATTCAGGATTTCACCATACGAAAGCTGTGTCTTTATCCACGATACCTGGTCGGTGATCCTTGGACTCTGGGTAGACGATTGCCTCCTTATTGGGCCAAGCTCTGAGCAACTGCAACTGGTGAAGGACAAGCTCAATAGTGCCTTTAAGATGAAGGACGAAGGACCCGTAACGTACTACCTTGGTCTAAACGTTAAACAGTCAGACGAAGGTATCCGCATCCACCAGAAGGCATACACTAAACAAATTCTACGTCGCTTCGAACTCCAGCACTACCACAACAAGAAAGTTCCTATCCAGGATGGCACGACCCTTTCGAAGAATCAGGAAAACCCAGACGAAAGATTACGAACCGAGTACCAGAGAAAAGCAGGATCGATTAGCTTCCTTGCGGGACAAACCCGACCCGATATCGGCTTTGCGACTAATCTCCTAGCCCGATACAACTCAAATCCAAGCAAAGAACATATGGCAGCTATGAACAACCTATTCGCGTACGTCAAGGGTACTATTAGCCGAGGAATCATGTACAGGAAGGGCAAAACCGAACTAGCAGGATTCTCAGATAGCGACCACGCTGGCTATCAAGATACTGCGCGATCAACGACTAGCTGGATATTTATTCTCGCTAGCGCTCCCATATCCTGGTCCTCACAGCGACAAAAAGCAGTATCTATCTCCACGACGGAAGCAGAATATATCGCTGCAGCCGAGGCCGCGAAGGAAGCTATCTAGATCCGCAATTTTATCAACAGTCTAGAGATCGCAGATATCCACTACGATAAAGTGCCCCTGTACATCGATAACGAGGCAGCAAGAAAACTCACGAGGAACCCAGAATTTCACAACCGGACCAAATACATCGACATCAGGCACCACTTCATCAGGGAACGGGTAGTCGAAGTTGGTGATGTCGACACTCGACGGGTGGAGACTAAGTTCAACATCGCGGACATCCTCACCAAGCCTCTGGGTAAGATACGATTCGAGGAGCTGGTAGAGCTCATGGGAATGAAGGACCAGGAGGAGGAGGATATGTAGAGACACGAGCAGGAAGCTGAGTGTCAGGGGGAGTGTTAAAGAAAGGGGACCCTCACCTGCCTGCTCCATGTACCTCCATGCAGGTCCATGTACAGGCTGGAGGCTTCCAGCCTTTGTCCCCTATTACCTATTAATAGTCCATAGGGATTCCTTTCCCTCAGGAAG